GCAGCCCTACGCAGAACCCCCCTGTTTTTCTGCTTTTTCTACCCAGAGAAGTTTTCCTAGTGGAATAGAGAGTTCTGTGTTCCCTGTGAGCATGGTGTGATTTTTCCATGGAGTTCTCGTACAGTAGTCTGTGTTTGAGTTCAGCCCAGGGTGTGTAGACGGCTTCAAAGCCCGCGGCTACACCCTGTGGTTAGTATAAAACCGGGCACACGCGAGCTGAAGCGTTGACACAAAAACACACAACCCGGCAGGCAGTTGGTCTACACGTCACGATACACACGCCCTGAGACAGGCGCAAATTTACTTAAGTCTATCAAAACTGTAGAGTGTGTTCTCGCCACTTCTTCCCCCTCACTCGTGGCACCAGTCTCCTCTACTTCCTGTCTATTTTGTATCCTCAAATCTCTGTTTGGAACGGGCCTCTTTGAGGCATATTTCAAACTTAAGGAATTTCCTGTGTTCTGCTTATTTCAGAGACAGAGTAGCAACACACACTCCCATGCTGATAGTCTAAAGATGGCCTGTGTGTGCACATTGTATACATGCATATGAATGTGAGTAATGACACAATCTGCACCCTAGAGAGGGTCATCTTGCTGGGTGGTAGAAAAGGAAGGATGACTTTCCATCCATCACGCTCACTATTCAATCCAGTGGTGGTCCGGAGAAGGGTTTTTAGAGATTCCCATGTGCATGTGTTATTGCCGTCAGTTACTTTATGAATTGAAAGCTTGTCATTGAAATGATGTAACGCTCACTCGTGGCAAATGAACAGCCTAGTATTTGCTCTTGCAAACAAGGAAGGCTGCACTTTCACAAACCACTCAGGTTTTTATGCGCTCAAGTGCTTCACAATCCTCACACTCTGAATTATGACGGGTGGATGGGTTGTTGGGGGATTCTGTCAGTATCGTAGAGTAAACTGTTGCTTCTTCCCAACACATAAAGGGAGTTGAGTTTATCTAGTAGGATTTCCTAGTGTGACTATGAATACATAATATAGTTCTGTCACCCTGTCTCTAATGATGGATTGTAAAGGCAAGGCATGAGAGGGGTAAATATAGGGTTCTTCTTTATTCCAAACGGTTCATCTTTTTTTCTAAACTGAACTGAACAGTTACAACCATCATCAGATAGACATGCTCTGCAGATTCATTGGCTTGACCAAGGTGTAGGGCTTTTGTGTGAGTCACGCTGTTGTGTCTATATCCAGAGGGCTCTCAGGGGATAAAGATGTTCATCTGGTCGAGCTGCTCTGAACAAACTCACCTTTGACCTATGACATCACAGTCCTCCAACTGCTTTTGATCCAACAACAACAGTAGTAAAAGAGTTTGACAGCTTGAAAACCTTTTTGTTATTGAGTCAATTGTAAGCTCGGGGGGGAAATAATTAAGGTCAAAGTGAATCAAATTGATCTCATATAAAAGGAAATCTAATAATCATAACTAACCTTTTCAGATAAAATCATATGAATAGTATATATTAATGTTGGCTGACTCAACCTGAGAGCCTTCAAACAGACAAACAGATCAGCACGGATTAGGTACAGTAATTCGATTTTCCACCATCTTAAATCTAATTCACTCTTTGTTTGAACTAAAAGAAAAACAAGCAGATGTCATCATTTCGAGCAAAGAGAAGCAGACATCAGCCTTATGCTGGAAAGAGATTGCTCTTGTGATCCTGCTGATGCTGCAGAGGTCTGATCCTCATTAACATGCGTCTGCCAGTGCGAGCGATTACTAGGCATGTCTGGGTGAAAGTATTAACATGGGATGGACTGTAATGCTTACGGTGATGTGTAGGAGTCAGGAGAAAAAGCATGTTATGAGTGTATATGTGGTACTATTTCTATTGTTTTTAACTCAATGAAGTTCAGTTTGCTTGGCGTAAAAAGTATTTCATCTGTTGCTTTAGTTTTGAATTTGGGCTTGAGACTTCACCAGGTTGTCTAATGGTTGATACTTTCAGTTGCATTGTGGGAAGTGTAGGATTTTTTGAGTTTTTACTCACACTAGGAATTGAAAGACAGAATATCTTGGCCTCCATTGCATCAATTAAGAAGGTTATTATTTTAATCTGTCACTTACACATACTTTATGGAGTGCAATATTACTTAAGTGTGTAATTAATTCTGCTGATTAAGACGTTTTTTGAATTATGCGATTTCTCTCTGCAAAATGTGGTTTCTTCAACTCAACTTTCTAACAAACAGTCCAAAACGCAGATTAATTAAGTTAACATTATATAAAACTGGGGAAATAATCAATATCACAATCCAAATGACCATACTAGCAATGTTCTAAATTGTAAAAATCTATAACATATTGGCTGTGATGCCATGATCATGCCTATTTGTCCCAAAGTACTTAACAATAATGTCACTCTGTAAGATACAATTTACTATCGACAATTTTTTCCAACTGTTTTAGTCAAGTTTCTTGATTATCATGAAAATTAAGAATAACTTCTCAATCCATTTTTGAGATTTATTTAGTTTAAGTTCAAGATACACACCCATCAAACAGAGATTTAACACTACAAGTTGTCCAAAAAACAAACACATTTTATTGAGGGCCCACTTAATTCCCTAGGGACCCACTCAAAGGAGTGTTTGCATTAATCAATATCTTCATTCACATTAACTGCTCTCTGCCCTCCCATCAAACTGCAACAGTTCAAGTTTTATGGTGGCACACTAAAACAGAGCTGAAATTACATATTTAATGACACTCGTGTTTGATGGCGCAGAAACACCAAAGCCACAGCCGTTGTTTTCTCAAGCACCTGCAATAAAAGTGCCCGCTCAGTGAAACCCAGTCTGGGCTTAAAGAAGCTTGAGTCATGCTTTCAGAGGCGTCCGAAACAGCTTTTTGGATATGATGATACAAAGGCAAGTCTGGAATTGAAAGGGCTTGTTTTCAGAAGTAGCAGATGATGTTTTGTCCTTCAGACTGCATTAAAAACTCATAAAACTGGCTTTTTATTGGCCTCGTTGTTGTAGTTGTTGTACTTGGTTTGATCTCTCAAACAAAACATCAAACAGGAATGCTCCAGACTTTTCTGACCAGCTATGGAATCTCAGATCAAAATCTGGATGAAGGGGTCCAGGCAGATTACCCACAAGCCTACGATGATCCATTCAGATAATCCTGATCATTTTGAGTTGGCTGTGCCCCAATATATGATCAACCAGCACTTCCATAAATGCGATTGACCTACCTTTAAAATTGGAACTAGACATAAGGTTTGATTGTCACCCATGAGAATATATCCTGCCATATGCATTTGATCGAAGAGCGCTAAATTGTCATCCTTGCAAGTTATTATCCTGATACTTAATAACCAGAGGACTGTGCTAAGGACAAAGGGTCAACAACATGTGTAATCTGTTGACATCGCGGTCAGCCTGTCATGTGTTTGTTGACAGTCGGTATTGGAAGATTGGCGTTAGCAGAGGCTGAGCGGATTAGATGTTAGCCGCCATGCTAGCAGAGCCCTCCCTCTGTAATCAGTGTTGGCGGCTGGCGATGACTGGACTGTCTGCGCCTCTCCACGCTTTGATTTCCCAACTGTGCCATCCGACCTTCCATTTATTCTCCATCTTTCTTATCTCTCATCCTACGTCTATTTTTCCTTTTACTCAAATTCCCAACAACATCATCGGTATACCCTGAAGCTGCTCCACAAATGTACTACTTGAAAATAATCGCGTTATTACATTTCACAGCGAGATTATTTCTACACTGCCATTTTAAATATCTCATTTGTTGTTTTTTTAAATGTATTTAGTCCCCGACGCTGACAGGTTGATTACAGTCTTACACTGATGGCTCTCTTTACCCTCTATGGAACAAGACATGCTAATAATGGGACTCAGAGAGGATGTGATGTGGGCTGGAAGCAGTCATTTCTAAAGTCTTGGAGTCGAATGAAGATGTATCCTTTATGATTCAGCCTCTGTGGTCTATGTGAGGTTTGGCGATCATGTTAGGGAGTGTCTCTTGACATTGGTCTGGTCAGGCTGGTTTGTTTCAGTGGATTAATGTACTTCCTTCATAAATGATATGTCGATGCACCAATGAAGTCATTTTTGGCCAATAAAGTTGTTTAAAATAACAATTTGTACAATAGCAAATGCTGATAACGTCCTTTTTGGTCATTTAATCCCCCTTCTCTGCCACGGACACAGAAAAAAAAGGTTTTAAAGTTATCCGGCCCTTCATTACACTATCTTCAAATGAATTTGAATATATTTCATTTCATGTGGTTTGAGGTTGGAGTAATGGGCCAGGAATTAGGCTTTGAGCAGTCAGCGCTCAGTGCTACTGAGTTGTATGCTTTAGCTCTGCTTGTCTGGCCTCGGCAGTCTCTCTCAGACCCTCTTTTCCCCCTCGTCCCCCCTCTCCGCCTTTGTTTCAGTGCTGCTGCTGCTGCTGCAGTGGGCCATGCCTGCAAATGAGCACCAGGACAGAGCAATTATTCAGCATGGGGGCAAGCCCTGCACCCCTCCTTTTATACACTTGCAGATACACTGCGTTCGCTGTCATGCTTCGAGGTTCCATACATTCATAATGTGGACGTTTTTTTTTGCAAGAAATGTTACACGTGGAATACACACCGAGAGGAAAATGAAATATGCTTCTGGGAATTTCTAGGATATAGAGATGTATCTTTATAATTCCCTCAGGAGTGGATGAGCTTCATATCTCTTTCAAACATGAATTAATGGGACTGACACAAATATACACACACTTGTCTCATGTGCCCATCCCCCCTTATACACACCCCTGGTTTGGTTGCAGAGTGTGCACTGGTGCAGGCAGGGAGGGGGAGACCTGCGTGAGACAGCATGCCGGTTGGCTCGCTGCATGTGTGTGTGTGTTTTTGAGAGTGTGTGAGCTGCAGTTGCCGGCGAAAAAGCATCAGCCATCTCTGCTGCCTTTTTATCTTCACTCCTTCTTCTGTCTCTCATCTATTTGTTCTCCTCTCTGCAGAATCTGCTACCTTGCCCCCGTTCTTGAGCCCTCTCTGCAGACAAAAAGCTACCCTTTCCCACCAGGTAAGATGCTCTATTTTTCCTGTGCTGTGCAGTCTTTTCTGCTTGTAAAATACCAAAGCAGCAGAAAATAGGAATAAAATGTTCCTTTTTAGTGATTGTCCCCCCCCGAGCATGGCTTTGATCTTTACTCAATCCCCTCCCTGCGTGTCATCCTCCTATTGTATGCATAGATTCTAATTATCCATGATATTTGCTACTGACATATTCAAACAAAAGAGTGATGTTGTGATAAGCCAGGGGCTGTTTCTGTATTTTGGTGACCCATAGTCTTTGTGACGTACCCAGTCTAGACATCTCTGATCATTCAGCCGGCAGGACAGTTCACCCAGAGTGTGCTGCTGCTGTGTTTTTCTTAAGATCGAGATACATTATTTCAATTCGAAATACAAGCAGTTGTGGTATTTTTGGATGCTGTGATACCACGTCCCAGTCAACAGATTGTTGGTGGATTCTCAGTGGGAGTGACACCGAGCTGAACACATTTCTAGCTGTGACAAGTTGGAAGTAGTGATGAGATGCCAAATCTGACTCCCTATCGTTTTTTCTTCCCCCCCCCACTGTGTTTATTCCTATATCTGCATCATCCTGCTTTCATCTGGATTGAAAACTAATCTCGCTCCCAGTTGGACTGTCCCCACTTCTTCTCCTCTCTTTCACCAGCTGTTTTCTCATATCAACTCCGGACAATATCCAGATAATTAGATCCACACATTGTCCAGACTTAGTCTTTTACATAATAATAGATAGTCATGTGAGTTCTCAGCTCCTAAAAATACTTGTCTGGTTTAGAGGGAGGGGTGGCACCTATAGGTAGAGCATTGAAAAATCAAGATGTGACGCAGATTACTCCGTGTTCACGTAGCCAGTTTGTACATTTTCAAGTCTCTTCATGTGCCTTAAATAAGTCTCAATGATTATGGCATTTGGCTTTGCAAACGGGAATTAGGGTTAGGGTTAGAAATATCTGTTCCCATCAATGTATGAACTTCTTGCCAGAGGTTTTTTTCTTCTGGCTTCACCCCCATAAATCGGCGAATATTCAGACTTTGTGCTAGTGTTCTGGCAGGATAAAGTCTGTTTGATGTCCGATCTGAAAGATTCCGCGTTCTCATATACAGCAGTAAGGCCTACATTTTCAGTGTATAGGTGAAAAGGGCTCTTGTCTCACACTTTTTCCCTTTTTTGTTGTAGGAATGTGTCATTGTTTTCAGGGGGACATTGTAGCATGGCACACTCTGGTCTAATCCCTGTTCTATCTAACACTATGTGCCAGAAATCAGCAGGGTGCCTGTCCTATCCACAGTGACGTGCCCCCCCTTCCCTTTCTATCATGTCTGGGTCTGCCGGCATGGCTTGCTGTTGGCAGCTCTGAGGCGAGCTGTCCTCTCCTGGGAACTAACTTTGGATGACACGCCATGGCATGGGAGGGCAGGACGAGGGGGAAAATCTGTCCTCTCACTGTCCCCCTTTTTTTTCGGGGTCACAAATGAAACCCTATGCCCCCTGATCATCCTCTTTTTTGCATGCCCGCTGAGTGAGGTCATGGTTTGGCAGTGTGGACACTGTTGCGGTTGGTGAACCAACTGTTGCCGCGCTCACAGTTCAGAACCAGTGGGAGATAGAGGCATTGTTTTGGGGTCAGAATCGCCCCTGGTTCCAACCGCAGTATGTCAGCGAGGCATTTGAAATGTAACAGAGCTCAATGTAGGTGTTTCAGAGATGCCAAGTGGGAAAGAGAGTGCCATTGTTTCAAAGGCTTTCCCTCCTTCACTTTTCCAACTGCCAGACGGAAACCAATGGGGATCGGAATTGTAGTTTAATCTGGGAAATGTAGGAACCAATACTTTTGGAGATTGACCACTGCAAGGATAATGAGACCTAGCTTGGATTTTAAGGGAAGTACACCAAATAAATAGCAATCTAAATATATGTTATTGTACATAATATGCATGTGCTTCCCCTTATGATAAATATTAGAATGTAAATATACATATTAAATCTAGGTCCACTCTATGTCCACTTACTTGCTTTTTTGGTGCTTACAATCAATACTCATGGCCTGCATTAGTGGAAGATGTTTCAATTGACCTTGCAGTGTAGTGACTAAAGGAAAAGCAAGTATGCTGATTTTTTTTGTTGCATTTTGTTCTGCAGTGCTTTCGAACTATCAAGAAATGTGATCCCCGTCATAAATAATGAATACGTTGGTTATTTTACTGGCAAACTGTAGGAGAAAGGTGACAATGCGGTCAAATCAACACTCCCTTGACAATGACAGGATGCCCTTAAGTGTCTGTTGATAAGTGATGGATGTGTAGCTAGTGCAGCATGTCACTGACAAAGATGGGGGGGAGCCATACAGACAGATGCAGCTAAATGTATTGGACAGCATTTCATATCGGGGGCGGACTGCTGGAAAGCTGCTGAGGAGGAATACGTGATGATGGTGCAATGGTAAATGGGGATTACTGAAAAGTTTTAAATACAGTAGAGGGTGAATTGGCTGATGTTCAATACATGCTCATTTCACTGCAACTGTACAATTGTGTAAACCTACCTAAACTACTACTTACATTCTGCCCTAAACATGTTAGATTTGAGCCATTTTTAGCACTTCACATTCCCGAGGGTGAAAGTGCTCCAGAGAAGTAAAAATCACAGCCTGCAGGCCTCATTTCTTGCCGCCTTGTCATTCATGTTGATTGATGAATGTGTGTGTGAGGCTCTTAGGTCACTAAGAACCTACATATATAAAAAAATAGACCAGTTCTTCCACCTGTATTCACTCTTAAGTGGAGCTGTTGCCTCGGGGGCACAAAGACCTGCACCTGGTCCTGCCTGGTTTACATAACGCAGCAAAAAAAGTGTTGCTTGCGTGTGTTTGAGCTTGTAGATTCTGTAAAGGGCCCGGAGTGCGTTTGGTTTCTGCATATACAGTGTGATGCTTGTCATGTAATATATGGATCCGGGTCAACTCCACTGTTGTCAGATTGATATAACATCCTGCTTCTCTTTTTTTGTCCAATAAGATGTAGGCATTTGTCAAGGGCAAGATGAGAAAGGAATCATTTAAAATGTGTTTTCCCGACAGAAACAGCCCCTATAAACGAAGGGTTTATATTATTACGGGTTTGCAACCTGGACATCATGTTTAAGTGTGATTGCCCACGAATTATCCATGTTTCTTTGGCCAGTAGTGTACAACAATTAGAGTTAAGGTAGTAATAGCAATATAATCATACAATTATGTTGCTCTATGTGACCTTTTAAAAGTAATGGCTTAAATTATCAGTACATTTACGAGTCTGTTATTACCTCCACCCAGGAGGTTATTCTTTCTGCTTTGGGTGTCTAAATGTCTTTCCTGATTTTCATAAAACTTATTTAAAGTGTATAGCATGGTAGAATCCAAAACATTTTTAAGTTATCGTTATCATAGGACAGATACACAAATTAATTATCATGTTTGTTTACATCGCAATATAGGGAATTTGTGTTGCATTTGTGTGGTGTTGGAATAATATGGAAAAATGAAATAGCTGAAAGTTGTCCCTAATTTACCTCTACATTTGTATGGCTCTTCTGATTGTTTTGTTTTACCATTTTGCTGTCATGCACACACTGTAAACACAGGCCTACAAAATATCTTCCTTGTTGCATCCATGTTGTTTCTACATCACGACACAAAGCTCCTGGAGAACCAGTCGTATGAACAACTTAGCCTCTCACTAAATAGGACAATCCATGAAGCATGTGAATGCACCATTGGCCTTGGCGGATGCTTTCTTAATAACTTCCTGAAAATAACTTTAGACAAAGTTCTGCTGCTCACCGTGCCCTGCTCACCTTCTCTGTGATCATGCTCATCTCCTCTCTTTTCTTCCTTCGCATTAATTAATGAGCCTATTTCCCGGTGGAGTTTGTCTCATTAGCCACACGGGCTCCTCTGGACTGAGTACAAAGTGTGGAGGTGTAGAAAACAGCCTCCCCTCCGTCTCATCACACCTGTAAGATTGCACCGAGGCCCCTGCTGAATACAGGAGTCGAGAACTACATGCAGAGTTGTGATTAGGAAAGGCGAAGTGATTCTTAGACGTAATGAATCTCACAGTGAGGCGAGTCAGTGGTGGAATGATGATGATGAGCAGTAAGACATTATTATAGCAAAGTAGCTGTTTTGAAACTTTTCTCGTTTGAATATTCTTTACCTTGACTTCAACTCCCCAAGGTTTTGTCGTATCAAACATGCATGTGTTTGTGTGTCTGCATTGGCCTAAGGGAGTGTGCATGCGTCTTTGGGGCGAAGGAGGTTGTCTTAGTGAATTATAGATGAGGAAATGAGGGCGATGGCTGAGTTAAAAGGGGAGGAAGCAGAGACCTCATGGAGAGGCTCTGTCTTGTGTTATGGCTGGACCCCCATGTTGGACCAAACACGCCTAAAACAAAGCCATGATAAACTACCGCTGCTTTAACACCCTCATTATTAGCATTAATCATGTAATTCCCTGGAACTATTAATGTTTATATACTGTTCTTATTTCATTTTAATCAGTGTTTGGGTTTCCAAAAGTCTGGTTTGTTTTTCCTTAAGTATCCCTGTGAAAACATGTGTGGTCTAAAGTACTGTGGGATTGTTGAGTAACTCCATTATACCTGCTGTAGCAGCTTAGCCTTCAGGTGACATTATTTAACCTCTGGCAGCCATGTTCACTGTCCTCAGGAAACTAGGACTACTATTCTAAATAAGTGTGATTCTGGAAAGTCCTCAGTGTTTGCATAACATTCCATCTAGTCATTTAAGGCCAACCCACTGATACAGAAAGCAATTTAGAAAACAAAGATGGTGTCCAAAGAAACAATGTACATGACCTTGCTTTACTGTGTTCTAGAAATCACACAGTTGGTGGTTTGGTTCTTCTTTTCTTTGGTTGTGTTGGTATGTGTCAAATTCGTATGAAGTACTCAAGAACGCCTAAAGGGAATCTCTTCAAATATTGTGCAAACGTCCAGCTGGACTCAAGGATGAACTGATTAAAATGTGCTGGTCACATGATGTTGACTACAAACCTGACTGGTTGGCGACTGCATACAACCCCAGGGCGATACTTTTTTTGAATCTACTTTTGAAAGATTCCTTAAGCTCTGAGTCTGATTTGGATAATTAGGGTTCTTCAGGATAACGGTGCATCAGATCATTCTGGAAATATCTTCCTGTGATGTTCCCCTTCATCTCCTCTGTTCATTTCAGCAACGCGTTATCAGGCCTTTTAGCACAGCTCTGAGATTAGGGTTCATTTCCTGTTTGCCTCGTCTCTGATGATGAAGTCAAATCTGTGGATTAGGTCCGGCTTTGACCTCTTTCCTCTATCTTCGCTCTTCCCTTCCTCCATCGATTCTCCTCTCTTGCCTTCTGTCGGACACATTTGGCCTCCGTCCTCCTGGGAGGAACATGCAGGTCAAGACGGAAAATGTGCCGTCGACTGTTTTCTCTCTTCCAAGAGACTCAAGACATATTGATTGTTTGTTTGACCCTGCACTCACTGTTTGTACCCGTCCATTACATATCCACCCTTCAGAGGCCTAGTCGTTGATGGTCATCTTGGGTGACTGATAAGAATGTGAAAATGTAGAAATGTCAGCATTTTATCTCAGAGTGTTGTTGCAGATAGGACAATATTGACGATGTTATTGTGTATTAGAAAATATTTCTTGGAAAGACGTTGAAATGTCATATTGAATAATGGCCCAGCACTAGTTAATAGTGAAGTAAAAAATGCAGTAATTTGTGATCAAAAAGAAGACATTTGTTTTAGGCGTTCCCTCATTAAATCATCATTTATCCTCAATTGCAGTTAATTTGTGTCCTATATCACATGCTTTAATTGTTCATTTATCATTTATTGGAAACATGTGAGCACTTTTTGAGGAAAGAGGAAAGATAGAGAAGTTTTGTGTGATGTGAGATTATGGTTTCATAACAAGCAGGCTAACTACTGTGTGAGAAAGGGATCATTTACTTCGACAGTTTAAAGTGGCTTTGAGTACAATGCTTCTATTTGTGTCGCACTCATGATATTTTTGGGATGGGCGGTACCTACTTTATGTATCCTTCTCTGGTCATCCTTTTTCTTTTTCTGGCTAAGCTTCCCCAGCTGGCCGGCCTTCCCCCTGAAGAGACATTACTTCCTGTGTGACTTCTCTTACTGTTTTTCTCCACTACTTTCACTCCCTTTATCTCCTTACCGCTGCTGCTCTAGGAGAGTACATTGTGTGCCTCTTTCTCGTAATATGCAGACACAAATGTATTTATGTGGTCTTTCCCTTCATTTCTCCGTCCAATTCATCATTCCTTCAAATTTAAAGACAATGTAAACAGTTTTTAGTGCTCGTTTTAGAACAAAGTGGGCATGTGTTTTCATTGCCAACCAATTATACAAGGAATGTATGGAGGCTCTGAAATAACACAAGCAAAAAAAAGAAAACGTTGTCGTTTAAGACATTTTGTTCCCTCCCTCTATGAACCCCAACTTCATGTCCCATTCTTTCTAGTAATCCAACTTTCTTCCTGTATGCAAAAAAATAAACAAGCAGTCAGTCAATAAAACCACGAAAACAAGGAAAATCATCAAATAATGGGGGATTTTTTTAAATTATAATTTGATCATGATGACAATGCACGAGCATAAAAGTATTCAGTTACATTTACAACACTCAAATTCAATTATGGAAATCAGTTAACATGGAAATCATGACCATAGCTCATGGGTTTACAGCACATGTGTCAAACTCAAGGCCCGGGGGCCAAATCAGGCCCTTGGTGGATTTAATTTCGGCCCGCAGGATAATTTGATGAACACCCAAGATGAGATGCCAAGTATCTGGCTTGAACTAGCATCTAGGAAGTAAATGAACAAAGCCACAGGTTTACCAAACTGATATGGAGGTTAAATGCATGTATCATATGTATTACCTAAGGTATTTACTGAAATGATGGTCAATAGAATAATGCTTAAAAAAACAGAATTGTCCTTTAGTAGAAATACTTGTCATTCCTCTTCTGCTTCCTGCTCGTTTTCTCTCCAGGCCTCTCTCTCTCTCCTATCTAATAAATCAACCTCCTTCCTGTTTGGAGAATCTCCGCTCAGCTCTACTTCATCCTCTGTCTCTTTCTTTTTCTGTCCAACTGCCTGTTTGGGCGACAGGACCCCCGCCCTCCCCCCTGACGGTGCTTTCACACTGTTTTAATGTTAACAGGATGCTCTGTTTTCTAGCTCCTCCAAAAAGCAGAGTGAACGTGCAAATCTGTCTTTCTCCATGGCTGACTTAAGCCTTAACTCATCCCCTGGCTCAGCCCCAACGGACCAATCCAAGAATTTGACAAATCTCAAAAACAGCTCACGAGGAGAGTCTGTCTAGTTGGCACACAGTTGACATGATGTCACTTGTAATCACTTATAAATCATCACTTTGATTTATTTTGGGATTATTATTATCTCGGCAGTTGCCTTGGACACCATACTGCTGATCTGTGTGTCTCTTCTTGTTCTTCTTTTATCTCAGACTGCGTGCAATGACTGTTGTTTACTTCAAATGTCTCCGCTCTCCATTTAGGTGAACTCGAAAGATATTTAAAGGCAATAGACTTCTATACAAATGGAGTTTTTTGCAAAAAACTGAAATGTATCTAAGTATTCTAAAGGGAGAATCACATCGTATGCTTTCTCAGTTGGACTTACATATTACGCCATCTTCACTTAGAGTATTTAACTAAATTAATTAAAAGATCAAACGAGAATGACATTTGGTCATGGGAATAATGCCAGTAATCACAAAACGCTTGACCTTTAGTCTTGTGAAAACACAGCAGTTCTCATGCATGGACACTGAATAGATCATCTTGTGTAGTGTTGTTGTTGTGTACAGCTCATCAGTAGCAGCTTAAATTAGAGACCACAGTGACGTCTGGATTAATGTTGCTGACAGACTCCAGGTGACGGAGCTAAGCTGCTGGGCATGTTAAAGACACAGCTGGGATTAGAATAGTCTCGTGTAAAGACCCCAAATGTAATTCTATAATAGTCAGTATTCAGAAGGAAGACCTTGAAACTGTCCCACTGGATTATAAGGAGACATTAGATCAAATGCATAACTTATACATATATCACAATTAAACTTTCACACTTGACATTTTTTGTATTTATGACTTCTGGCTCGTTTGCACACATTTCCAAAGCAGAAATCTGAACATTGAATTATACCTGGTTAAAAAATGATTGATTACAGTTTATTGCCATTTAAAATGTTTTCAGACGGAATGTTTTGATTAATCAGGACATGCTGTCAAAAGCCAGAAAAAAAGAGAAGAGCATTTTGCATCGTAAAATGCAATAAACGACATGGAAAAGGGTAACAAAAATATGGAAACGAGACATTATTCAATGTCAACTTTTGGAGACTTTAGGAGAAATCTACGGCAAATATCCATTAAGATAAACAGCTAAATGTGTATATTTAGTCTTAATGAAGACATGTTATTGAGCAGTTTTACGGTTTTGAATGTTATGCCAGGCCTTAAATTGGTTTCAGCTTAAACCCTTGTTGTGTTAAATCTTAGGTTCTGCAGTTTCTTAACATACATTCTCGTTTCTCATGCAGGTCTGAGCAGCCGCTTCATCTCGTCTGTTTGATCCATCAGTGACGACAGCTCTTCAAGTAAGTAGAACGTCACCTCACACTTAGATAACCCGAAGAAAAATCCAAAACATAGAAGTCTGGACTGCTGCCAGACGGTATACTATGCACTACTTCCACTCATATCGCTCGCATGACATTTCACACTCACTTTTCCCATGACTCATGGGGCCCCGGGAGTCAGATGTAAGTGGCTGCACTCAGCCAGATGATTAGCTTGGCTGTCCATGGATGTATAATAGAAGGGGAATTATGCTCAACATGTGGAAGGGAGAGAGGAGATTGTTTGGATTGAGGTCATAGTAGATATTTTCCTTAACTCCATGTTTTGCGCTGCAGAACATGGAAATGACAGAGTTGAGTGGCTAAATGTAGATTTGGCGGGGAAGTTTGTGTTTCTATATTTAGCGCGTGTTAACAATGTGTTTACTACCAGGCAGTTGTGGGTTTTTGCTCGGTGGATGCGTCCGGGGGCGTCAATGAGAGGGTGTGTTTGTTTGCGTGCGTCTGCGGTTGAGTTTTTAAGGGGTTTGCGCACGTGGAAGGGTTGATTTGGGAAGGGAGTGTGTGTAGGTATGTGTAGGGCGTGGGCTGTCAACAGTCATCACAGTGCACTCAGCCATGAAGGACGCGTGAACATGGCCACTGACTGCTGAAGAGACAGACAGATGGGAAGAGTTGTTGGCAAATGCAGCAGATGGCTCGGTCAGTTGTTGCTTTTATATTTGTATTTTATATTTACTTTCTTACTCAGAAGAAAACAGTGATACACGAACAATCCTCCCCCATCAGCACCAGCTTAAAGGTCTGAAATGACATCACCAGCTACCAGCTCTCAGTGTATCGACGGTTTAAATGGCTCCGATGCCATTTGTGTCCGTGCAGTTAGGAAGCCCCCCCCCGGGACAGCGCCTGGAGGATCTGTTGACCTATTTCAGGATCTATAACGTGGTCAAAGTCGTCTCTCTGCAGCCAGCATCCTCTCCTGACCGTCCCCAGCCCCTCCCACCCCAGGACTCGCATCACCATGGGAACAATGACATCATAGTGGGGTAGGGCCGATGGGTGCCAAGAAGCATCTACTCTGCAGTGAGGAGGACATACATCTGAGTTAGAATCATAATTTAAATTCAATCTTCAAACTGTCTTGAAGGAGGAAAATCTAATTCGCAGACAGTAGTTTCTTTAAGAAAAATCTAAAATCCAATAATGCCAATCAATTCATCATCAAATGTCACAAGCAACATTTGATGCAGATTGCCAAAAGCTCAAAAAAGCACTATTTACTTTTACCACATCGTTTATTGTCATTGAATCACTTAATGTTTGTTTTATTTGAGTAGGGGGCTGATGGGAATGATACAGACCACCTGAAGTTCAGAGTAAGAAAGTCAGTTTTGCTGACAGCTGATTGGATGTGACAGAGCCTCATCATGATGGCATAGTGGTAAAAAATATAGGTTGTATATCATCAAACGCTTGCAGCAGGATTCCTAAATACTCTGCATCTATTAAGTCACACTACGTAAAGAAAAGTCACAGTGGATGTAAATCCCATTTTATCCGTCTTTATAGAAATACATGTCAGGGTGTGTCCCCCTCCAGCATCTATGCTGCTCTCAGAACAGTAGATTCATGGTCAGATATCAAGACTGTGATAAAGGATGGGGGAGGAAGTCGCAGTACTAGAAGTTTTTATTTTATAGTTATGTAGATACTGCATAGGGATCACTCAATTTGTATACATCATTTTACATATTTGCCTACTACAACTCAACTCTAATAGATAACACCATTAATGTTATTAATTAATTCAAGTTAATGCTAACTTTTCGTGAACTAAGCTGAAATCTACAGTCACATATAGAGAAAGTGTAGTGCCCCTTTACTGCATGTAATACGGTTCTTAATCTGCAAGAGATGGAATCAGCCCGTTTCCACCTTCTTATTACACACCGGCATGTGTTTGTGTGCGCTTTGCTCGTCATGCTGCTGTTCAACATATAAACAGTTCATTCACACTTCACTGGCAGCGCTCATTACCCGCCAATCCCCACATGTCTTGCTGAGTCACCATAACATAATCTGCCCGTCTGCTGGAGGAAGTCACTGGATCCTGGGTGGATTACAGGTCACAGCAACCTTGAGTGTCCCACTGTCCACCTCAGGGCTGGTGTCTAGTGTGACAGTTACCCATCAATCACTGCAACGTGTTACACAGAGACTGTGTTGGCATGGGTTGTGATACTTACACTAATCTAAATAGTGAAGTCCTTTGATGAAGCTTAGTACATTCAGACTTTTATACCAACTTTTAATTTATTCAGGCTAAGCTGAATCAAGTCTATATCTTATTATGTCATAGTCTTAGTTGAGATAACATTGGAGCCGTAATCCATGTAAATAACTTCATAATTGAGACAATAATATTGTGTAGATAATCACTTTGAAGTTAAGAAAAAACACTTTGATTCTGAAAATGTCCCCTTAGGTGACATGAGAGAAAGAGTAACTCAGGCAAATGATTCAATAATGCATTATTACAACACATATTGATTTAGGTGACAAAAAAATTAATTTCTCTGGATGGTAAGCCATTCCAGTGATGATAGGAATGTCGAAAATAATACCTTAAACTACAGAACACATACACTTACAGACAAAGAAAAAACACACACCCGGGCGCTCTCACAGAGGATTAAGGCCAGGTTGGCCTGAGACTAGCTGCCAGAGATTCCTCCCTCCTAAATGGATGGTGACATTCCGATGAGAGCGGCTCTCCGCGAAGGCGTGATGAGTGACCCAGATTGGGGTACGGTTGGCGGAGAGGGGGAGGGATGTGAGGTCGGATTAGAGACGGGGTGGAGTCGGTAGAGAAGAGGGATGCTAGGGCTGTAAGGTAGAACGCAGTACAGCAGGGGGGCATCAGAAAGACAAAAGGATTAAAAAAAAGAGAAGTGAGTCGAGCCTAAGGCCTGCTGCCACACCTTCTCTCTTGTCTCATGTCGGCATGTTCAATTGGACACATTGATCCCAAGATGTAATAGGATTTGACAGTCTTTCTTTGACTCCCAGCGCTGTTGATTTAACCCTTTCAAGATCAAGACACTGACTGTTCACATGCTGTGCTCTGGGCTGGATTTCTAGCTTTTCTGAAAGTATAATAGAATAAATTGGTGTGGGATTTTCTGAATTCCATAACGCAATGCAATTTATTACTAGTGTCAAAGGTGTCTTTTACTGCAGAAAAAAAGACACATTTTTGCCAATTTGCGTTAACTAAGCTAAGAGGAAGTTTCAGACTTCAACATTTTACATTTCTGCTAAGTAAATATGAAAGGTGTGTGTATAGGGTTTGGTCATTAGGTTTCATCGACAGGTAGAGTCATGTTCGTAGAAATCCAACTGAATGTTAAGATTTCTTATGTTGTCGTGCAGAGCATGTAAATAGAGAAAAGAGATGGGACCTGAAATTGAGCCCTGGGGGACGCCATAGTGGCAGACAAATTGCGATCTGACCCCTAGAGACTGTGTTAGTTATTTATGTTGTACCGTATCTTCAAATAGAATGATTAAGCATTTGTTCTGGGGGAAAAAAACAAAACAATTATGAGGTTTTCCGTCAGTAGAGAAAATATCTTACTTGGAAGGATGCCCCTCTTTCAAATGATCCTTTCCACCATAACACAATAAGACTAGTAAACAGCCAGAAGGAAGCTTTGAGAAAAGCCATTGTCGGATCACGTTAGCCACAAGAGGATGACAAGTTGTGCCTGGAGAGCAAGGTCCTGAGGGGTGGGCGAAGTAGACATCAGGAGATAAACAATTTGCCATGAGTTCAGTATCTCATGTTACAAGAAGTGGTAAATAAGAATATGGCACTTAAGATATCTTCTAATTATTGTTTCCCCGTTAAATGGCTTGTGTGTGGAGTTTTTCCTTTCCTAAACGAGGGTAGAAAAGGGCAGGGTGTTGTATGCTGTACAGATTGTACCCTGAAGCAGATTAGTGATCCATGATAGTTGGCTATCTACATAAAATGTATGTATCGAAGACATAATTTAAAGGTTTTTTGTTGGGTATCCACTGGTCTAAAACTTACCTGGTAACCAAAAAGAGAATACTTGTACAGCAACGACAAGTTATTTCACTTGGTTTATATCATTGACCTTGGCATTGTGATCACACAGAACAGGAAATATGTTAGCTTTGATTCACATGAATGCAAATATTGTAAATCGTCACCAATCCTGCCAGTTTTTCCTTAAGCCACTTTGTATTGAAAGTCAATTTAGTACCTTTTTATCAAATGAGAAAGCAACACATTTATGTAAGCAGCCATGGTTTATGCCAATCGATTTTGAAAGGGACAATGTGTGAATGCCAAGTGTGGCGTAACATTGCCAAAACAGCAGCTGGAAGCGGGTCAATGCAATTCAAAACCACCATCGGCACAATCTGGCTGTCAGCGCACCCGTTTTCTCCCTTAGCAACAGCTGGGACCAGACTCCTCTGAGCCCTGGGCGGAGGTTTTCAGTCTCAGACAGTTTGGAACAATATCTTTGAATGTCAGTAGGTCTTTCTCCTCCTCTCTTCTTTTTTTCTCCCTCTCATGCTCGTCTCTTCCCACTGCAGCAGACATTAGCCCCGATCACTGAGAGCCTGTCGTCATGCAGCGCTGCAGGGGAGGAGAGGAGAGAGACTGAGGAAGGAATGAGGAGGGAAGAGAGAGGCAGACAAATGAGAGTGGGATACAATACACCCAAAGGCTCTTTGGTTTTCAGAAGCTGCAGAGAAAAAGTAATGTAGAAATCTATCATAGATTTCTCTGCTTAGCAGGGTGGACAACTTGATTTTAACAGAATAGTTAGAAATGTTAAATATGCCTTCTTGCAGAGAGTTCCTTGCCATAAGAAGATTGATAGTGCAGTCACGTCTGTATGCTAATAAGTAACGTGCTACTAGTTGGCTTAGCTAAGCTAAAAGAGCGGGAAAAGGAGAAATATGTAGAGTACATGTAATCAAATGTAACACAATCGAGATACAATTAGGTTTGATATTGACAAACTACAAATGTTAGTAACCTCTGACTTTATTGTTCAAATATTTCTGATAAATATGTTTTCAAACAGATGAATGTGACCTGGAAATGATTCGTCAGGAGAGGAAGACGGAAATAGAATCAGGCTGAAAAAAAAAAAAACCTGGACGAGATAAAACTGGAAGAGAAAAGAGGAGAAAGTTAGATTTTAATAACAGTAGCTTAAGCTAGACAAAAAGCTCATATATAAAGGGACATCAGAAAACAGAATGGAGGAAGAAAGGAGGAAGAAAGGAGTCTCGGAGATCATTTGTTATGATGAAATTAGCCGCAGATGATGATAATGATGCAATTTAGCCCGGCTGCAAGGCAGGGGAGGGCCCCCTGCTAACGTTGTTTAAAAAGCAACATTATGGCTTCCTCTTCAGGGGAAAAAAAGCTTTTATGAGGGCGCTTGCTTGAATAGAATGCACTTTACTAGTGCATACTTAATTGGGAAGAGCTTGTTGCATGTCTGCGTTGGCTATATCTACAGTCACTTGGATGAAGTGCCGTGTGTAGGTGGAGCACTTCTTTTTTGTATGAATAGGGCAAGCCTGTCAAACCCATCTGCTGGACCCCTATAAGACCTGTACTGGTTGCCATGGCAACAACCTCCTTATCGTTGGTGAGAGGATATACAGGGTGTGTTCAAGGGCTTTTTTTCACCCTCTCACGAGCAGCTTGCTGCGGTACACCTCTAAAATGTGTGTGTATATCCCATTTTGATTTAGATTTTCTTTTACTAGTTTGTTCATTGTTGTGTGTTGGATTGAATCTTACCTTTTCATATGCGATTAGGTCAATACTCACAGTAATTAGTATGCAGAAAACCTTAGGGAACAGGCAGGAACACACATTTTGAAGGCATTTTTTTAAACCAAACAAATCATAACTGTACTAAATAACAAATCTAAAAGATATACTGTATATGCAGTCTTTCCTTTTTTGTCCGAGCACATGGATGCTGAGACAAAGACCAGCCGTTAGAGGAATAATGTTGCACCTCACTCCCTCTGGTGGCCAATTTCTGAACTTCACCACGCAGTGTCCATCCTCTTTCTTTCCACACATCTCATACTCATCTTTCTCTTTCCTTCTCCCACCACCTGCTCCACCAGGTGACCCGTCCCCCCCCCGGTGTCCCAGCATGGCAGACGGTCGGCAGCCGGACGAGCACTCGACCTCCAACGGCCAGGAGAACGGCAACAATGGCTACTCGGCCTACAGCTCTGCGTACAGGGAGAACGGATTCAACGGCGGGGCAGCTGCACACCCTGGAACGACAGGTAGGAACACAGAGTGTGTATGTGTGAGAGCATGTGCATGCAACACTGGCTCAGTGATATCGATTGGATTGCCTACTCATGCTGCCAGATGGGTAAATGTGATTGGTTTCACGGTGCCAAGCAAGGGCAGCCAATTTCCAAATGGAACGTGTTTCACATTTGAATGAGCGCTGAACATTAGCAATCTGCTGCAGCAGTGTGGTGCTTGATATTGCAGTGGTCCATATAGAATAGATGGATAGATAGAAGTTTCTGGACCTTTTCTGGAAGTAAACCAGAAGAACATGACTTTAGAGCTGCAACTAGTGATTAGTTAATATTTAAAAGAAATTCACATAATCAATAATATTCCAAGAAATGTGTTATTTTGTTGGTTTAAATACCCAAAAATATTGACTTTACATAGTGAATTAAACTTAAATATGAAGTTTGTCAATGTCTTTAGATTTGTTAGAATATAATAGAATTGGGAGGGATGAAACCCTCTTTAATGATCACACATGCAGAGCACACAGCACACACAGTGACATTTGACAGGAGTCTAGTACTAGGAGAAGTGGGCAGCTATTGTGCTTGAACTTCGATTTTGAGCAACTATAATGTGACTCAGTGTATGTTTTTTGACATTTTCACTATCTGAGGTAAGTTCAAATGCATCCATGTGCATTTGTCTTTTGAGTAAACTGGCCACTAATCAAATCCTAGAGGATAATTACATTCATCAAACACACAGCAGGTATTGTTCCACACTCAAAGAGAGGCCACACACACCGATAAGGTCACCACAGTTATTGGTCTTTCATTTCCTTCCTCCCATCCATGTCTTGTCTTGTGTCGTCTCTCTCTCTCTTTCTCTCTCTCCCCTCGCAGTGGATGACTCAGCCAATTTGCCTCCCTCCCCACCCCCCTCTCCATCCGCTGAGCAGATTGGGCCCGTGGCACAAGGTACACCCGCTCACACTTATTTTAACCACTCAGGGTGAGAGTGTGAATGGTGGTGAAAGTGGTAAAAACAATCTTGAAAAGAAGACACAGTTTTTAAAGTTTGAGCAGCCTTTCTGCATGATTAGAAAATAACTCCTTCCTCTTCTTCTAGTACCCTTACTTTTTAGCGTTCAATGCATTTTATGTAATCACCATATCACCTTTCTGGAGTCTGCAGCATGTGCCACATTGTCCTGTCCACTTTCACACTTCCTGTACACCATTTTAGTTCAATATTAGCTTCCTAACATATGCCAGTATGTTATTGGCTTCAGAAACTCAACAACACAAGCACATTCTCTGCCACTGGAGCCCTTCCTCTCACTACTCCACTTTCCCCTTCCCCTCTGTTGTTCCTTTGCTCATTGTGTCTATAGATTTTCTCAACAAGTAAATCACAGATTGACTTTCAGCTCAGAGAACAGCGCAGTCTGTTTTCTCATCATTTCCTTTCTTTGCATGTGGTATGCAATCACAATACAGTAGAATGTAGTCCCACTGCATCATTTAGGGACAATTATGTATCAATATTACTCAAATCTAACAGTAATTTAGTTTTCTGTACTAAAAAATGAGATACATTCGTAATAAAAACGTTTTTTTTAAACTGTTAGTGTTCCAATGATTATAAATCTCTTAAATTAATTGCAAAAAAAATGTAACAGAAGTTGTGTTAATTGCATCCCATGCATCTCCATCAGAGCTGAAAGTAACCCCATGTAACCCCAGTACTGTTGTCCTCCATGTCTCATCTATGTGCCCCCCCCCCCCCCCCCCTTCCCTGCTCAAAGAAGATAAAGTAGAGGTTGTCAGTCAGCAGCAGGAGTTGCAGGAGGAGGAAAAGGAGTCCCACAGTTACCAGGAGGAGGTGGCATATGAGCAGCCTGGAGCCTTAGAGCAGACAGATTATTTATCAGAACCCCAGGCTTTGGGCTACCAGCAAGCCCAGACACCTGAGGTTCTCAATGGAGGAAGTCATCAAAGTGAACAGATCCCGTCACAAAAAGGTGTGTGTGGTTTTTATGGGTTTTTGTGGGCGAGTGTAATGTATGTGTGAGCAATCCTTCCTCTATGAAAGCGAGTGAATTTCTACCCACTACTTATTTTTGCATGATCCTCTTGTGCTCTGCTAATGGGTACCGAAGATGTTCCGCTTTATTTTCTAAACTGTGACGTAGCTCGGGCTTTGCTGCCTACCAGCTTTGTTGCTCTTACTTCCTTAAGCTTCTGCTTCAATACCTGAAGTTGCCGTGTGCAAAATAATGTGACACAGCATTTTGATTTTGTGCTTTTTCACGCAAAACATAACCATTTGCTTCTCATCGGAGCCAAATTACAACCCCTGATCAACCGTATCGTAGTTGATCATTTTTTGCACTTGTGTATTGCCAGCTACATTGCAAATGCAAATATCACTGTCTATACTGTGTGTATATTTTGATGTGGGTTTTGTTGGAATATTGTGTGAAAGAAGGTGTTTCCAGGTACACGACCTGTATGGGTGCTTCATGAATAGGTCCTGAATGTATTTTTGGTCTGTTGGATATCACTTGCTTTGATTTGATTTCAATGTTGTTTTCATTTCATCCAATGGCAAAAGATAATTTTGTATTCCTATTGTTACTAAGGACACACTTAAAGCATAACATCCACCCTCATTGGACACATATCATTCTTATCTATGAGGTTAATTAAATCAACAATATAGCTCTAATTCATGTAATTTAGCATTTTATTATCCAAGCAATATAAAGTTTCATTTACATCCACTGTATTTTTGTAGTTGCATTAGAAAATTAACACTTTTACAGTTAGTTATATAAAAAAGAGTCATTATATATCATCAGGTTGACCATTTTGTATTTATCCTTGTACATTGCAATAGGAATTCAATGTGTACTTTTATTTCTGGTCATCTAACATCATGCAACTCATTCCTTCATTCCAGTTCGGCACGCTATCTTAGGTGATGTGACCCCCCCTGTGCTGTTGTGGCCTGCTGCAAAATACACTGTGTTTTGCTTGATGGAGAGCTACTGTATCTATGTGCAGAAGGCCTCAGCTTGACTGTATTGGCTAGCTTTTGTCGATGCATCAAGCTAAGCTTTTTAGCTTTTATGACTCAGCACACAGTTGTACAGTATCCTTGCAACTCACAGCCCAGCCGGAAGAAAGTATCAGTAAGGAGTCTTGTGAGTCTCCTGTGAAAGAAGATGAACCTCAAGGGGCGCCGCTACATGAGAAGCAGTTGGCAGTTGAAAGAGCAACACCTGAATGTGCAGAACTCGCCTCGACTGAATCTCCCACTCCGTCTGTGGAAGGAAAACTGCTCTTTGACACCTCAATGGAGCAAGGTGGAAAAGACACAAAGGAAGTAGAAGAAGTCGCTCCTGAGAGAGACCTGCCGGTAGAGTTGAAAGAAAATGAAGCAAAACAACCTCTACTGACAGAGGAGGACAAAGAGGGAGATATGTTACCCAGCGAATCAGGAGCCCCTATGTCTGAAAGGGAGGAAAAACAAGAGATGGTTGACCAGATAAATACCTCGGACCAAGATGGTGGCAGTGACAATAGATCGTATGAGATGCAAGTGACTGAGAATAAAGAAGGAGACCAAAAGCAAGAAGCAGTCGAGGCAAGTCCAGCACCTGGCACAGAGTTACAAGCGACATCAGATATTTTTGTGGAACACGTGTCTGGAGTGAAAACCTATTTTGAGACATCCTCAAAAAGCCACAGCGAGGCTCCATCACAAACCCAGAGCTATTACGAATTCAGCACAGCAGCGGAGGAAAAGTTAAGCGAGGAAACTAAAAGCATTGTGCAGAACGTCGAAGAACAACTGGATCAAAAAGACAGACCGATTCCTGGAAAGATGTCTCTTGAACATAGAAGCCTCTCCCTGAACATCACTGTCGGGTCTTCGGGGGGTCAGACAGTAAAGGAAGAGAAGTCCAGAACCTTGTGTCCAATCAGTGGAAGCTTTGACGAATCTGAGGTAAACCCTTCAACACCATCTTTGGAAAGTCAACATCCTCCAATTGTTACCCCAACTACCAGTGGATCCCCTGAAGATACCCCCACCAAAGAAGATACACCTTTGCCTTCTGATAAGCACAAATGTATTGAACATTCAGGCAGCATCTCTGAGATGTTGGACCTTGCTGGAGACTTGCCACGGCAATCATTAGAGAAGAGGGAGCTTGGCCACATGAGGCGAAAGTCTGTACCCGCCAATGTATCCGCTCTGGGAGGGGGTTCTTTGGCCAAGCTAGCCTTAGGAGATAAAACCCCAAGGGTGGTGGGAGGGGAAAGCCAGTTAGAGGACCTGGGCTACTGTGTCTTCCATGAGTACTCGGGGCCAATGCCTTCTCCTGCTGATGTACCCAATCCTGGGGACTCTCCACACCAAAGCTTCCCTTCTACAGAGACTGGAATTGAGGAGGAACTTGAAGTTGTTCAAAAAGAAACTCAACAACAAGACCGTAAAGAAATGATCCCTGAGATTTCTCCCAAAACTGTGATTGAAAAGAAAGGTTCGCCAGTAAAGAGTACCCTGATTCTTGAAAGGATCGTGACAAGTGGAGTAAAACCTGATCGCCTAAGAATCCCAATTACTTCTTCAAAAGACCGACTGACTGAGTTTCGTTTGGAGACTGGCCTGCCTGGGGACATAAAGAACCAAGCGATTCCTGAGGTAGACATTGAAAAAGACCCCTCCAGAGAGGCTTCTCCCATCCCACCAGACAGTTCCTTTACTTTCACTAATCTGGAACCTGAAAGCAAGGTTCCCAAAACTCCCACCACCCCCAAGAACCAAGATGATACACCCTCAGAAACCCAAGTTGCTGGAGACACGGCTGCAAAAGATGTGGTTCCAGTGGTCGAAGTAGAGAAGGATCAAGAGTCAGGAATTGATCAACTGAAGGAGATAGGGAAAGAATTTCAGAAATCTGAGCATGAGGAGTTAGAAGAATGTAAGGAAGAACCAGAACGGACAAACACGAATATATTTTCACCAACATCTCGGTCTTTAGGAGATAGCACAGAGAAAGATGACAAGAAGATTGAAACTGAGACAACTACAAGATTAGACGGTATAGAAATGAAAGAGACGCCAAAAGCAGAGAAAGTTGCCCAAATCCAGTTACAGGAAGTGACTCCTGATGAAGTCGCACCAATGCCACAATTATCCTCCCCAATCATCATCATACCTCAAGCTCAAGTAGAGGAAGAAGCAGATGAAGAGGATGATATTGAGATAGCTGAAGAACCTCAAGAGGTTATAGAGGAAGCCAAAGTGCCCGAGGGTTTTATCAAGGTGAGTCTGACCGTAGGCGATCAGACGGTGGAAGAAGACCCCACCTCAGAATGGAGTCACAGTGCACGCGATGAAGATGTAGACCCCGCGACAGACAGTTCGCACTTGTCTCCGTGTTCTGACCATGATGTACAGCAACTGGATGAAGGTGAAGCAGGCGATGGTAAAGGGGAAGACACAAAGATAAAAGGGGATGAAGGCATGGAAGAGGTGATTGAAGTTGTCACAGAAGACCCATCAGCGGAAGAGCTTGTTGGGTGTGATGGCATAGGCGATGAGAAAGAGAAGAAACCAATAGAGAATGAGGGGGAGAAGAGGACAGAGGAAATGGAGGTGAAAGAGAAAGACATTGAGATCGGTCAGGAGATGGAAGAGACCAGTCAGGCAGCGTACGATGAAACAACCATGGACGTCTCCATCCTTGATACAGACAGTAACTGGATGGACTCACAAGGTACCCAGAACTTGTTCAAATACAAATAGAAATCGCTTGTAAAATTAGGGAGGAATTCCCAAAGAGTGGATTGCACGTGCTGATTGGGTATCGTTTGCGGCCGCTATCTGCCCTGTCTCAAGGTCCTTATCACAAAATATATTGCGCTTTTGATATAATATTGAAATCTCTGTTAGAAGCTGAGTGCAGTTTGACCCTTTGTATGTAAGTGATTGCAATTATCCAGGGGCAAAGTATACATGGGCCTGAGGCAAATGCGTTGGTACTGCTCTTTCACTGCTCAACGACAACAACGGGCTCAGGGAAAAATAAATAAATCATGCTTGACCTTTTGACTCAACAGTAAAAGGAGAAGGGGCTCTGCACCACCCAGCAATTTGTGCACATTAATTAAAATGTGAGCAAAAAACTAAGTATAACCTAGACACCGTTTGCTTGGCAACTCACCCTTGGTCTGTTACACAGCTCCTTTTGTTCTTATTTGTGCAGATTAAGCGGACACAAAAGCTGTGCAATCCCTTTGTGAATTTGTTCCCTGGTGTATATCTAAAGATAAAAGAAAAAGCTAACCTACACCATGAAGTTTGTATGATAGTAAATCGTAATGTGTCTTTTGTACTATGCTAGCTTACTAGCTAGCTAAGAATGTGGAGAACTAGCCCTTTTTTAATCCCTCTCCACTGCAGATGATGACAAAAGTATCATGACTGAGCAAATCGAAGCCCTTCCTCAGGTCCAGAGTCCTACCAGTACACCTGTGGTGGACAGACCCGTAAACCGGGCCCCTGGCAGAGGAAGGGGCCACCCTGGCATCACTGAGAGTAAAGTGTCCCGCAAAGTCCCCGGTCACCTTCCACATGGTCCAAGAGAGGAGATGAAGAAGAAAAAAGGTTCCAATTATGTATTGTTGATTAGCTAACAAAGAGTGAGATGTACATTGTTCATACCTCTGTAGAAGGTAAAGAAAGTTTTACCACGGTTTGGATGTTGGTATAATCCTGTCTCTCCCTTTTGATAGTAGCTGTGCGGAGGGTTGATCAGAATAAGTTGTCAGCCCTCCAAAGTCGCTCTCCATGTCGAAAGAGTGTTGCCAAAGCGGCAGCCAGGCATCCTAGGCCCGCTGTGCTTCACGGCTCTGCTAGACGCAAGGCCACAGGTGAACACTCGTCACCGGGAATCGCCGCTGTGGATAGAGAGAGTGCAACCAAACTCTGATGAACAGAATCACGACCTTAAGATTTCTTTATTTTCACCCTGCAAAAAGCTGGGACAATTAAGGGGTTAAATTGATACACACAATATCAGGCATTTGATTGACTCTGCTCTCTCTCTATTGATGGCTCTAGGAGAAATCAATAAGGTGCAATGTAGCTGGCAAACATTCTGTGCTGTGGTCTCTGAGCTCAACTGCTTGGTCTTTTGTTTGTTTTCTAATTGTATCCATGTCAACAATGGATGGTGTCATGTTCTTGTTTCTTTCTTATTTTTGTATACTTTTGGATTTTTTGTATACTTTGCTGGATATGGCCGCGTTGTGTTTGGTCCGCTGGTGTAAACAAGTCTATGAATGTAAAAAATGGTTTTCCAGCTGTCTTTTCAGAGTACATCTTTGGATGTGAACGTGTGTTTTGTGTGAACATTCATCGCTAATGTCATTCCCTTTACATTGTGACTAAAGCAGGGCTTTTTCTTTGCAGGGATCGAAAGCCATATGCCCCTCAGTGTTGCCCACCAGTCCAGGGAGAGGACCACTGTAAGTACCATCAACAAGGACACACACTCGATATTAGCAACGGTGTTAGCATATTTCATCGAGAATATTTAAAATCGGAAATAGGATATTGTTGATTATTGGTGCTTTCATAACAATTTTACACAATAAAATGTATGTATAATATTCATCAGTAATGTTGATATTGTAATTATGCTATCATTTTAGTGTTATGCATCTGGGGCTTGTTGTATGCATGCCTTTTTCTTCCTTTTTTTAATTTCTGCATGCGTGCACGTTTATTTTGTCTTGCATGCCTACCTCTTTCCTAATGCCAGTCTCGGCAGAGAAGATCTGTGAGTATAGAAGTCAAATTAGCTTAGTAAGGGCACAGGTTTTACAATTTGATGCTCATGGTGTGCAGTGCATAGGCTCTTACCAATATCTTGAAATCCATCTTTCACCATTTCCTCCCTCTATCTTAAAACCTCATTGTGTTTCATGTCTTTTGTAAAAACATCCCTGTCTATTCCAGGTTTTTCTTAACAGAAAATCATCATAAGTGAAACTAAATTCATCTCAAATAACAAAACACTTTGCATGCAGTGTGTCTCCTTTCATCTCTCCATCTGTGTGTCCCCTCTTCCTCACATGCATGTTTCTTGCCTCTTGTCTTGGCTTCGGGGGTCCAGAGCCCCACGAGGGCCGTTCTGTTAAAGATGGCATTTCAGCGCGGGGGATCTAATAACATGCCCCCCCGGCCCGGCTCTGCCTGTAGCCTTAAACGGAGCCCCCTGGTGCGGGAGGGGCTCAGTGAGCCTCGCCCCTCCTCTGCATGTTCCCCTATGATAGACAATCGGGTGGAGAAGGTAAAACTAGGGATTGATAGGTAGCCAGAGTCCATAAAAAAGAAATGGAGCCCGGGTGACCCTTCAGTGTCTGCTTTCTCTCAGGAGAGAGCATACCGCAGCCCGGAGAAGAGGTCGTCCCTCCCCAGGCCGGCTAAATCTCTGACTCGCCACATCCCTGCTGCGGAACAAGATGACAGCACCCCCTCCAGGCCAACCTGTAAGAATACACACACAATCACAAGTACAGCACACAAGCTTGTTTGCCTCCCAATGTTCTCTCTTAAGCAGCAGATTGAATCTCTTGCACTCCTTAATGAAACTACCTTACGCTCCATTTCCTCTTTTCTCCTTGGCCTCCTTGTTTACTTATCTCCTTTTTTCCTCCTTGTCCCTTTGCCTCTCAAAGCGATCCAGTCCAGAGCGGACAACAGGTCTGGAAGACCCCCTGGTATGGCAGGTAGACCACCTAGTAGATCTGATAGTAGCTGTTAGATCCCATCACACCCTCCTCGTCAACGTATGGCATCTAGTTTGTAGAAAAAGTGTTTTTCGTCTTTTGAAACATCAAAATAAGGACTCACTATCATTCTGTATTACCATCCGTTGACGACACGTTCATTCATCTTGGTCACACAGGGGTGTCTGCAGGTTTGAAAAACACTATTTATTATCAAATGATCCCCTTCTATTGCCTTTCCCTCTTAACAAAAGATTCCTGATTTGCCAGAACGTCTGTTTTCTTCCCATTTACAAGAAGACATAACAAGAGATACACAATAAGGAACAAAATACAATACATTAAAACTGAGTAGACCTAACCCTGGTTTTAAAAAGTACTATGAAATATGCTTAATCTAAATATACCCATTATTAATATACTAATTGTGTATATTTGAGCGTTCTAACAATGTGTTTAGTGTGCTAATGGTATATCATGAGTGCTACTTAAAATATACAAAAACACTATAAAGTGTGCTTGACTGTATTATTGTGAGACCAATGTACTAAAGTAAAAAACAAATAATTATATAATGAGCACTCTTTATTACAACTTTATGTGACAAAAAAGTTAATTTAAATTACATTTTGTATAACTTCAAAGTCATACAAATGTTATTTAAAATGTAATTTCCACACACTTTGATTGCATTATAATAAATGAATAAAACATGAATAGATTTGATTGCCTCTATATTATGAGTAAATAATTAATAATGGATTCATATATAATTGAAGAAAGTAAATACAATATATCTATAAAAGTATGGCATTAAGATTATGCATTTTAATGCTGTCTCAATAGTTCACTTACGTTTATTTGAGTATATTTCATCAGCAGTTATAATCAACAATTCAATTTAGAAGGCATACCTCTATTAGGTTCAGTGTACTTTTCTTAACTAGGTTAATTATTCCTAACTTAAATAGGTGCGCTATTTATTGTATTTTGTTCCTATAATTGTCTTTATTTCATTAGAGTTCTCTTTGGATGTGTTAAATGTGGCTTTGTCAAACCTGCAGTGACCTCATCAGAGGTACAGGTGGTATCCATAACAACAGGTCGCTGCTCTTTGTTCTTATTCAGGATGATGTTGACTAAAATCCTATTGGTCCTGCACCTGTAACCCAGCAACAAGGTGCCGGCGTTAAATGAATGCAGCTGCCTGTGTGTGCTTCCACATATCTCCTTGTTTAACCTGTTGATGGTTTTGTGCTGATCCATATTTTCTCCCGTCATTCTTCTTCCAGAAAGGTTTTTTTCATATCATCATCTTTCTTCTTTTCCTCACTCTAATCCAGAATTTTCCGCCTGTAACCTCCAGGTACAGAGTCTGCGCGTTCCCGATCAGTCCGCAGCGGCGCCTCCACCCCCGGCTCCACCGCCGTGACCCCCGGCTCCCCCCCAACCTACTCCTGCCGCACCCCCGGCACTCGCACCCCCGGCAGCCACACGCCCAAGTCCTTCAGCATCCTCCAGGAGAAGAAGGTGGCGGTGATCCGGACCCCGCCCAAGTCTCCGTCCTCCATCCAACGGCAGCTGAAGGTGCTCAATCAGCCGCTGCCCGACCTGACGAACATAAAGTCCAAGATCGGGTCCACCTCCAACCTCAAGCACCAGCCCAAAGGGGGACAGGTAATAGAGACAGGGGTCAGGATGTTATTGAACTATGACATCATTTTTAGGATTCCAAAAGAACATCTCATGTTTAGGGGACTTTAAAAGGATGCAGATGTTGGGAAGATTTTCTAAATAAAAGAATCCCCTTTTCACTTTGACAGGTACAAAAGCTACTAAGATATATATGTATATATATTAACAGTCTATAAACAGCAGATACAAAGACAGATTGACATACATATGTATTTTGCTGACATATTTACCTCCTAGTTGACTAATGACATCCGAGATTTAGTGCAGTGTTCTGTTAAATTCTCCAAAATAAGGACATACAAACTGTATAGTCATCCATTGAAAAAAACATTCACAAAAACATTTATATTTGTATATTTCTGACATCATATTGAACGATTTCTGGATAATTAAGTTTTTCAGTGCAGTTACCTATTTTGCCCACATGGGGGCGGTAAAGGACAAGTTTATGTCACATCTTTAAATAAAAAAGCTTATTTTTTTGTGCAAAACGAATCATTCTATTACATTTAAACTGTAGTAGCACATGTAGAGAGGTATATATTATTTCAGAAAATATTTGTATACCTTGGTTAATCTTTCTGTGCAATATTAACATCCATAAATTATTTTTTTACATACAATATGCAATGCAATGAACTCTTAACAGATACAATAAAACACATGAAAAGACAGAAACATTTAAAAATAAAAGGAATTATTATGTCATTTATGTGAATATTAACGTATAAGAGTTTGCAGTTTCAGCTAGTTTACTCGATATTTGATTCCACTATTTTGCAGCATATAACAACCCTCTTCTTCTGTGTCTCTTCCCCTGAGTTGTTGAGATGTCGTAAATATCTGTCTTCACATCTTCACTATCACTCTCTGCCTCTAACTGCTGCCGTCACTTCCTCTCACCGTCCTCTCCGTCATCGGCTGCCTGCGGCCTCTTGCCCTGACTTCCCCTTTTCCCTTCTCTTTACCTCTCTCACATGTCCGCCTATTTAAAGAAGATGCAAACCGTCTTCATCTTGAAACAGCTTTCCTCTGGAAAACATTCCTTTTAGTGCCTCCGAGAAGCAGTCAGCCTGCAGAATCCTTTCTCACGGGATCTGCTCTCGTCATCGCCGTGCAGGATTGTCCCTCCGGCTCTCTGTATTAATAATTGCGAGCGGACGTAATTACTTATTGAGAAGTTGCATTCAAGGACACAGGATGAAAATATATCACCTCACACAACAGATCCTGAAAAAGGGATTCTGAATTGGGTGATGAATGTTAAAAGAGCTGCCCTTAAGTTCTTGCATCATGCATGGTTTCCTCCAATATTAATGATTTAACACACACTGGACTTATTGCCCCTCTTATCTTTATCTATATGGTTTGTAAAAACATAACCATGGCAACAGACAGTGTTCGGCGAGACTTTTGATTAAGGGGTTGTTTGCAGGAAGAGCGGAGTTCTTCCTTCCTCTTTGGGGAAAAATGAGACATAGACATGTGTAATGAAGCTGAGTAACAATCAGCATATTTTCAGGCATTTTATTTTTCAAAAATCTAGAATACAAATATATTTCATACTTTAAAATAGCATTTTATTACATTTTTACAATCATAATAATGTCATTTTATCTTATCATTAAAATATATATATTTTTTATTAAATATTTCTACATAGATTTTATTATTTTTAAATAATTGAATGTTTAGGATATATTTTTGCTGTAATTTTCATCTGTTAGTATCTTATATTTTAATTATTTATAAAAGCTGCAATGCCAATTTCAGTTTAGAAAATGTGTTAAATATTTAAAAAATATTTTTAGGTAATAGTTAAAAACAAATGTATAATATAGTCTCACTATGCCAAAGTTAAAATACTTGTATTGCTTATTTTTTCTCAGCAACATACAAAATAATAATGATAATCATTTTAATTAATATCGATTAATATATTTGAATTTGAATATAGATTGCTATTTCAGAAGAAAACTAGAAAATATCCACAATTCAAAGGACATATTCTTAGTGAGTGGGTCCAGTGCATTGTCCTTGGTTGACCTTGCAGCTGTCTGTCCTGCAGCAGCTGCAGAGAGCAGTGTAAGAACCTCAAAGAAAAACATGAGAGATGGATAAAAAGAGCAGTGTTAGTGTCCATATGTGTGCGTGCATGTGAGAGGAGGAGCTGTCAAAAGAATCCAGGTCAGATCAGTGTCGAGGAGACAGAGGCTCTCTGTCAGGCGGCGCGTGTCCCCCCCCTCCTCCTTTTTATTCCTCCCTCCCTTTGTGTTCACTTTAGCACTTGTAACAATGGTGTAGGTGTATTTTAATGTATTTTCTATTTAACAAAATAACACAAAATGGTTCACAAAGGCAGAAATACTGCCATTGGTTGTATTAAACTGCAATTTCGCACAATACTGTTTGTATTATTTTGGCCATTTTCACATTAATTTGCATCTGTTCATGTAAATTTATCACTCCACCCCACAGTAATCTAAAAGAGGCACATATAGTGTTTTTTTTTATTTATTTGATTTTGTTTTAGGTTCAAATTTTAAACGAGAAGGTGGACTTCAGTCATGTTCAGCCAAAGTGCCGCTCCAAGGATAATCTGAGGCACACGCCCAAAGGAGGCAATGTATGTAAACTTTCGCTTCTCTGTCTCCTTTCCTCTCTCCTTTCTTTCTCTCTCTTTTCAGCGGGGGCTGTTCTCTCATTCTACTTGTATACGTTCATCTGTCTGCACATCAGCTTGTCTATCTTTGGCTTGTTTCGGGGACATTCCATACCAACTAAGAATACATATTTGATCAAGACTGTGTGGATTACATCGCTAAATGTGCAGCTTGTGAGAAATGTCTTTAACCCTGCATAAACTCCAAAACTGAAAGGCTTGTGTCTGTGGTTTAGAAATTCCCCTGCGCTGAAGTCGGTGCAGAGGGATTGATAGGTCGTGGATTTAAAATTGGGACACTTTTATGGGATTATTTTGAACAGGAGTGCATTTTAAGCTCCTCCTATCCAGTTTGAACTGAGTGTTTTGCTCACCCTGTCCTTCCCAGGTCATGATTCCAAGTGTTAAACTGGACTTTAGCCACGTTCAGGCTAAGTGTGGCTCCCTGGACAAAATCCAGCACGCAGCAGGCGGTGGAAACGTGAGTTACAACACATTCAATTTCATCATTTAGCCATGTGATTTATAGTTGTTTTTGTGTCCCTCTGAATGTAATTTCCCATCAGCTTTTGCACCAGAAATATCCTGTTTGATATTTGCTCTAGGCACATAGTCATAGTACAATCTTAGTGTAAACACGTCTCTACAGCATGCACTCTGTATCTTTGTTTTACTCACAGTAATTCATTTCATCCATGGACAATAAAGTTTATTTAAAGCATCTGCTCCCTTTAGCATAACATAGCGCCTGCGTTGTGTTGAATGATGTGCTTTCGCCATGTTTCTCTGGTTAAAAACCCCCCCCCCAAAAACAAGTAATTTTTCTTTATTAAGGTAACATATGTTAAAGGCTCCTATTATGCGCTTTAATATGTGCTTCTGCTGCTACCCACAGATCCAAATCCAGACCAAGAAGATCGACGTGAGCCACGTCACCGCCAAATGTGGCTCCATGTCCAACATCCGCCACAGACCAGGTATGTTATTCGAGGAAAAGGAACATCGACACTAGTTGTTTGATTATCCAATATTAAATTACGTTTTTTTTTAGTAGTAGGCACAGTTTTGTTTAAGATTAAAAGGGTTCGAACTTCTTATGGAAGAAAATACTTGAACAGGTTAAAAGTATTCAATTTTATGTTACAAGAATGTCTTAGTGCGACTTAATGTGAAAATTAGAATGTAGATTGAGGATAGCAACACATTTCAAAATAAGGAAATACCCTTGCTGTACCTCAAACAACCCCATTTTCAAAGTATGCCTTTAAGAGTTGGGTCACATTAATGCAGACATGTGTGTTAGGTTGCGTGGAAAGGGTAGGACCCAAATGCAGACTACAAAAAAGGTAAAAGGTCTAGAAATAAAAAGCGAGCTTTATTTTAAAAGCTGAACAAAAACATGACATGAAACACATAGGTAGCACAAAAACTAACCGTGACCAACATGGAGGGAGACAGGAGAGACAATGAACCGACAAGGCACACAGGGGAAGACAAGACTAAATACAGAGAGGGGTAATCACAAGACAAGACACAGCTAGGGTAAGGGAAGCAGAAACACAAGGGCAACAGGTGAACACAATCAGACAATCAGACACACCAGGGAAACTAACGACAGGAAGGCAAACACAGGAAGAAGGATCAGACAAGACACAAGGAGGAAAACATTTCAAAATAAAAGGTGGAAAATGAAAACAACCCAAAACCGTGACAATGTGGTTGATCAGTATTTTTATTTTATTTTATTGTGCATTTTTGCCTTAATGTCGAAATAGGAAAATATTCCTATTGATGTTATTATAATGATTTCAACGATGGCCTTAATGATACTGTCTGAGTAAAGAAAGTGAATCGATAAAGCTGCTGTTGTCCTACTGTGCACACTTATGGCGCATTTCCACTGCAGCGTGTAGCACGGTTTAAGCGTGCCGTGCCAAACCCGGCCCGTTTTTTGTTGCGTTTCCGCTAGGCGTAGTTCCGGCTAACGGGTACTTTTTCACAGTTTTTCTGGCCCTCCAAAATCGTGGTTCTTTCCGGGCCAACAACCGGGCTGAGTATGCTATACCCTAGTGTCGGCAAGGGGGCTACAACTACAACAAAATGAACATATTTGACCGTGATTTAATTGTAATACACGTTTCAAAATGATGCCGAAGTAACAACATACTGATACCGGTTAGTAAAACCGGCCCTGCAGTGGAAATGAGCCATTCGATTCTTTGCCCTGAGTGTTGCCTGCAGGGTGTGATGCTCCTCTTCTCATTCTGTCTTGTTCCCAGGGGGAGGTCAAGTGCGCATCGACAATGTGAAGCTGGACTTTAAAGACAAGGCCCATTCCAAGGTCGGCTCACTGAGCAACACCAGCCACACTCCAGGAGGCGGGAATATCATGGTAAAAAGACCCTTCTAGCAGTCATAAAGCTTTATTTGTATAGCCCTACCCAACATGTGTATAATGAAACCTACATCATTCTTTGAAGGTAAAAACGGCTAGAGAATATATACAATAAAATAAAAAAATAAAAGCAAACCGATGAAAGAAATTAAACAAAAGATGAATAGTCTGATAAAAAAATAATAAGAACAATTAAAAAAAAATATATATATATAACATTTCTTTCTTTAACACCCCTGATATTTTTCCTGGCAGATCGAGAGCCACAAGCTGAACTTCCGGGAACAAGCCAAAGCGCGAGTGGATCACGGCGCGGAAATCGTGGTCACCCACTCCCCGGGGATGGAGACGGGAGGGATGTCCCCCCGCCTCTCCTCCACCGGAAGCATCAACATGCTGGAGTCACCCCACCTCGTCACGCTGGCCCAGGATGTCACCGCTGCCCTGGCCAAGCAGGGCTTATGAGCGAGATATCTCCGCTTCGGATACCCTCCAAAATCCACACCATCACTCCTCTTCCCATTAATCACTCGTCCAGTGTTCTCCCAAGATCCTTCACTGCAACACTCGACCCCACAGTTGTAGCAGATCGTCCATCAACGACCCCTCCAGACCTTGCAGTGGGATTTTAAAAATGGAATCCTTAGATTATAATTCATTCACACACCTGGTCATTCTTTATTTCTCATTTGTCACTCAAGTATGGACTTTTCTGTTTCATTTTAAATAAGTGGAGTGCTAAGGTTTGTCTAAGAAGGCTGTTTTACGATTGTACAGTGTTTTTTGTGCGTGAAAAGCATCACATTCCACATGTATGGGGATACACGGTGAGATGAGCTCATGCATTATGTTCATTCAGAATTGATGGTACTGAATGCAAGAAATAGTCTTAAAGAAACGACTGTGTGAGATACTAAACTTACAGAAATGTAATGGCTTGTACCTGCAAAAGAATGGCTGATTAGCATGTCTGCTAACATGTGACATGACATTTTTATTTGTGCGTTGGTTGGTTTTAATCTTATGATTTCCTATTTGATTGTTGAAAAAAACGTTTTTCTTTTTATATATATGTCACTGTAGTGGAAGTTTTGTATGTTCCCTGTGGCTGCACTGGCTTATTAGCACTTAAATGTGGATAACCACTGCAGTTATGTCGAGTCAAGCGCTGAAAGACTAGCTTTCCAATAGATTTGTCTTTTCTTTTCCGCAATCATTTGGCTGCTCTTTTCGTTCGGTTGTGATTATTTTAGGCTACAACAATGCTGTTATGCTGGCATGGCAAATACATTATAATAAATTAGATCTATTTGGTGCAATCTTAAAGTTTTCAGTGTGAGTGTAAATGGCCACGATGCATTCTAGTGTCTATACTTTTAGGTCAAATCCCAAAACTGTCCCCCTGCTTCTCCTTTTGCAGAGACCGGGCTGTACAATGTATTTGAATGGGCAAAGTTTGTTTGAAAAGTGGAAAAAAAATAAGCTTTATATGATGACATTCCATTAAGAGAGCAGCTATCTTGTGCGATTAAACCAGTAACTAAGCCGAAACGACAAAGATGTGAAGAATGGGAGTCACCTGCAGCTGTTAGAATTCATTTTAAAAAAAGAATAAAAAATAAAACAGTTTGAGCATATTTTCTGCTCACCATTGTAAAACCTCTCTGCCCCCCTTTCCCTCCTCCCCCAGTGTAAGTTACCTCTGCAGTGTGTCTCTGTGCTTCCTCTATTCTTGCTCTCCCTCTTCCTCGACCCCTCTTTGCCTGTGTAAGTGTATTTAAAATACCATGTAGATGTGTGCAAACGTTCCCATGTTTGAGATGTACTGATGACAAATTCTCCTACAGGATGATGACAACAGAAATAAAGACATAAAAACAGGTTGACCATAGTCTCTCGTTTTAAGTCTCAGAAAATGTGTGATCAATGTATCTTATATATCTTTGAAATGATACTAAAGTGTTAAATCTTTGATAAAAAAAAGTCTCCTTGGATTTTTATTACAACTTTTATTGGTGAAAACAAATGATGTATGTATTAACAAATGTTAATGCTTTTTAATGTAATTTATGGACTTCATATTTAAAAAAGTTTACATAAAATACCTAAGGAGCCTGATGTGATGTTGTATATTTATGAATCTGTGTTAAGTTAACTTTGCTAGCTTAGTAGCCTTAACAGACATGCAAGAGCGACCCCTCGGTTCACACACACGACCTACACCTACCGGATTTCCTCACTCAGGTAGTGATGTGTCGGTCGCGAACGAGCCGATTCTTTTGAACGGCTCTTTGGTACGAACGAGGGGAACCGAGTCCTACTTGGTGAGAGCCGTTCTTGTTATCGTTCAATCGTTGGTCCGCACTCACTGCCTGCCAAAATCCACTCGCCTTTTAAATAGCTTGATTTTGTTCCCCAAACGTATTCTGTGAAGATCCGCCCCTACTCTGTTTGGTAGGTTTCAGCACGAGGAGTGAGATGGGGTGGGTGTTAACGGAATACACGAGAGAGAGAAGTCATAACAAGTGGTACAGGACAGGTAGACAACGTGTTTTTCGGATGGAAAATGAGCCAAACGCGAAAACGCAGCAGCATTTGGATTCACTTCAACCAAAACCCAGGCAGTGATAAAGCGCACCATTTGTAAAGGCAAAATATCCTTTAAAGCAGGATCAACAAATAATCTCCATCGCCACTTAAAAACACAGTATCTAATATTAAGAGTTGCATGAATTCATTCAAGGCAAGGCAACTGTATTTACTTAACACATACAGAGGGTAAATTCAAAGTACATTCACTGACATGATGACATGGATATGGCGCCACCTTGTGTCATGTTTACAATGCCGATTATTGACATTAGGTCTGGCAATACAGTCAATCATTATCCTGGTGATTATTTTGCAAATAAACCTAGTAACCTTCAAAAAACGGCTCTTTTGAACGGCTCTTTTGAACGGCTCTTTGAAAGGAACGGAGCCATAAGATCCGGCTCCCTTCAAAGAGCCATAATTCCCATCACTACACTCAGGTGTGCACCAATTGAGCAAATTGGCGTGGGCGTTTTAGACAAGTGGTGGGTTTCAGAATAACTGTTAGGAAAATGTTGTTTGCTATTGACAGAGCCAGTGTAGCTGTTTCCCATTACTGCTAAACTAAGTTTGCCGACTGCTAATGCTAGTTAGCTTTGTGGTAGAAGCTAGCAAACAGCTATCTTCTTTAGCTTACTCTAGGCACGAATGCATGTTAATAATAGGCGTTTTTTGTCCGAAGAAATATGTAAATAACACATGAGGGACGTTTTAAAGTTCTACTGCACTACATTTTTAGGATAAAAAATGTACTTTTAGCTAGTATGGTTGGCCTACTTTGCAAATTACACGTGTAGAAAACCCAGCCTGTAGAAATTGATGCATTGTTATAACAATGCATCAATTTCTACAGGCTGGGTTGACTAGTGATTAAATAAATGTGCTGTGGACATTACTACATTATGGACATACGTTAAAATATATATTTTTAGGGGCCATTCTGTATTAGAATCATTAAGTACATTTTTCGGAAATGTAACTTTGCAATGCTAGATTTTAGTAGTGTGTTGTTACTTTTAACTTCTATTAAGTATAAGAAAAAGTCTAAATTCACTGAAAGTGTGAAATATGAGTGTTAGTCCACTTGGGTTATTAAGCAACCTGTTGATATTCAATTGCAGGATTATATCCTTCACGTGAACGCACCCTCCGGGTGCAATTAAAGGTATGTTTCAGCCGTTTGTTTTTTAATGTCATACACCTTGTCATTTTCCATCATGTTGCTTAAAGAATAGGGTTTAGAATGGAAACATCTGAAGCAGCTGCTTCTTTAAGCTCCGCCGACGATAAATTAGCACGGCGATCAACTGTTTCTGTCCGGTGAGGGAGGTGCTGAAATCAGAGCGCTCTCCGAGTCCTTCTCCCCCCACCGCTAGCTCTCTCTCTACCTCTCTCTCTCTTTTTCTGCCCCTCTATTGCCGCCGATCGACCGACACTTGCAGCCATTTTACGCAGGATGAACCCAATCATGTCGTGAGGGAAGATCGCTGGTCACCTGGGCACAGCCAGCAGCCGCCGGTGGTTGCACACAGGCGGGCAGACAGGCAGGCAGGACCGGCCAAGATGGTGAAGAGGAAGAGCCTGGACGAAAACGAGCCGGAGTGCGGGAAAGGAATACCGTTCCCCATCCAGACCTTCCTATGGAGGCAGACCAGGTTAGTGTGGAATTGATAACAGGTGTTTGCTTGCCTAGAATAGGGATCAAGCATTTGACAGCAGCTGTGACATGAAAGGACACGTATGCGTTGTTATCCTAGTAAGCGTGAACATAGATGTATTATAATTGAATCCGTGCCATTGAGTGTGGCAGTTGCATTGAATGCTTTAAATGGAGGGAGGTGGGCTCCTGTTTTTTGCAAGGGGTTAACTGTGAGTGGAAACGGATTGCATGATGTCACACACCTGTAATGCAAAAACAGAAAGCGGGCCAAAACAATACATATGTCGTCCTGGGTATATTGATTTATAGAAATACAATTTGACATTTTATATGTAATTGTGTAGTCCACATACAGTATATGATTTGAGAATGTTATATAAGGATGTTCTCTGTGTGTTTTCAGTGCATTTCTACGTCCAAAGTTGGGGAAACAGTATGAAGCATCTTGTGTGGTAAGTTATTTCATAATGCCATGTTCGTGGTGAGGGAAAATAATCACTCTCATTCCCGGTAATCTGTTTTTACCTTAATGCACCTGCAAATCAAGTGGGCTCTTGATTCTGCATTTAGCAAATTAGTTTTTCCCCCTTGCTTCCTCCTATTACCCCAGAGCCAGACCTTTGGAAACTCATATCCATAATGACGTTTCTCCAGATCCCCTTGGATCTAAACAGAGCTGCCTCTGTCTCTCCCACAGGCTTTGCAGTGCTTGGGGCCATGTGGGGCCTTTAGATAGTCAAAGAGACAGGCTTTAATTCCTGGCTGATGTCTCTGTTTTCTTTCTCTCTGGCTGCCTCCCCAGTCCTTTGAGCGGGTGCTGGTTGAGAATAAGCTCCACGGGCTGTCGCCGGCCCTGTCAGATGCCATCCAGAGCATCTCCCGCTGGGAGCTGGTGCAGGCAGCGCTGCCTCATGTCCTCCACTGCACCTCCATCCTGCTGTCCAACAGGAACAGGCTGGGTGAGGACACACAACACACACGTTACCTGCACTTTAGGAATTGAGTTGACAGTGTTATCCAGGGTATCCTCATTCAACTGAACACAAAACGGATGTTCTTTCGGTCACAGGGAAGTTGCACAACCGCCTGACTACATCACAGGTCTGGATTATCAGAAACAAAAAACATTATAATTCACTTGTTTATTTGAATTAAATGCTTTTCTGGATAATCTCAGCGTCTGCAAGACAATTTATAGTATTATATGTTGTTAATATGAAAAATTAGGCTTCAGTCTAATATATTGCAAATTATTTACAGTACATGCATATAAACCTGCAATTCCAACTAGGTCTATCTATTCTACGTATGGAGAATGTATTATATTAAAATGACTTCCAGTATCATAAAGTATCTGCAGGTCTGTATTATTTCCATGACCCATTGTGAAACATCATAATCCTGGGTCTTCCCAATGACAGTAAAAATATGCCTCTGCATATAGACATTATTGAATTGGATTTCATTTTTTGGTCTTTAAAATCACCCAAACTTATAAAGAATGATATACACTAAGTGCAACACAGCAGTCTGAGTTAACCCCTGACCTCTGTCTGACAGGCCACCAGGACAAGCTGGGCGTGGCGGAGACGAAGCTGCTCCACACGCTGCACTGGATGCTGCTGGACGCCGCCCAGGAGTGCAACCACGAGCCCAGCCTGGGCCACGGCTGGTCCGCGGGCAGCAGCAGCAGCGCCTTCCTCCAGCCCATGGGCAACCAGGGATCTTCTCCAGGGGCCCCCGGCTCATGCTCCGGCTCTGCCCTAGGGGGGTCGGGGCCCCAGCACAGCGGCTCCCTGCCGGAAGAGGACGAGCACGCCCGTACCAAGCTGTTCCACAAGAGCATGGCCACGGTGGAGCTGTTTGTGTTCCTGTTTGCTCCGCTTATTCATCGCATAAAGGTGTGTACCTGCAGACATAAAGGTTTACAACATAAGAACAGACTATTGAAAGATTAAAGAAATATACAAAGTTCATACCATTCATTATTACTGAATTTTTTAGCCTTTTCTGATGTGCAAAGGATTACTTCCCGGGGTCAAACATTTATTTTAAAGATTTTTAGAGCAGCTCTATTCTAATATGATCTATATTGACACACATATATTCAGGGTCACCCTATAGCTATTGATCTGTGTGTGTAATCAGAAACAATGGTCAGGTTACAATACTCTTGGGATTGCATTGTTTTTCCCAGCTGAGCAATGAATTACTGTCTTGTAATTGATCGTATCATATTAGCAGAACACTGAACACATAATGACCTTTAAACATGTTGCTTTTAGGGATGCACAATGAATTGAAATTGCAGTATGAACTTTTAGATGAATGCTATTTTTCTACATGTGTCAATTTATTTTAAGGAGTCAGATCTGACCTTCCGATTGGCCAGCGGTCTGGTGATATGGCAGCCGATGTGGGAGCACCGCCAGCCTGACATCTCTGCCTTTACTGCACTCATAAAACCTGTCAGAAACATTGTGACAGGTTGGAAAAAAATCCTTGCTAACAGCCATATAGACCGTATGTAATCTGCATTTGTTTGTTCATAATAAGGACGTGTAATTCCTGTCTCAACAGCAAAGAGGAACTCCCCAGTCAACAACCAGTGCAGCCCCTGTGGATCTGGCAA